GAGTGAGCAGGGCTGGGGGGGGAGTGAGCGGGGCGGGGGAGTGAGCAGGGCTGGGGGGGTAGTGAGCAGGGCCGGGGGGGAGTGAGCCGGGCTGGGGGAGAGTGAGCAGGGCTGGGGGGAGTGAGCAGGGCGTGGGGGGGGAGTGAGCAGGGCGGGGGTGGGGGGGAGTGAGCAGGGCGTGGGGGGGAGTGAGCAGGGCTGGGGGGAGTGAGCAGGGCTGGGGGGGAGTGAGCAGGGCTGGGGGGAGTGAGCAGGGCGGCGGGGGGGAGTGAGCAGGGCTGCGGGGAGCAGTGATGGGGAGTTCAGGGTTCAGTGGTGATTAAAGAGAAAGATGTTGTTCACCTTCACTTGAAGCTGAGGTTTCAGTTATTGTGAGAACTGTTGATTGTTGGGGACCAGTCACACAATGGCACTGATCCCAACACCAGGTGAGAGCAAAGCTTTCTGTTGTTTTTTAATGAAAATATTGATTTATTTTAATCTCGTTCCCATCACTGTGCCTCTGTGAGTCTTTATATTGTCAGGGATTGTGTTGGGGACGGTGTCTGTGTATGTTGGGGACGGTGTCTGTGTGTGTGTTGGGACGGTGTCTGTGGGTGAGTGTTGGGGACGATGTCTGTGTGTTGAGATGTTGTCTGTGGGTGTATGTGGGAGACAGTGTGTGTGTTGAGAACGGTGTCTGTGTTTCTTTTGTGAAGACAGATGCAAAGTACTCATTCAGTACATCAGCCATGCCTCTGCCTCCACAACAGATTTCCGCCTTGGTCCTTAATTGGCCCCACCCTACCTTTGACTAACCTTTTTTTCTTGATATGTTTGTAAAATATTTTAGGATTTCCTTTAATGTTACCCGCTAACCTTTTTTCATTTTGCCCCTCTTATTTCCTTTTTCAGTTCTCTTCTGTATTTCTTATATTCTATTTGGTTGTCTTCTGTATCTTGGGTTTGACATTTGTCATATGCCTCCTTTTTCTGCTTCATTCTAGACACAATTACCTTCGTCATCCAGGGAGGTTTTGATTGGTCTGCTTTTCCCTTTTGGGGGAATGTATTTGTTCTGTCCCGAGCTATCTCATCCTTGAAGACTTCCCACTGCCCTTTAGTTGTTTTACCTGCCAATCTTTCTTTCCAGTCCACCTTGGCTGGGTCTCTTTTTAACTCACTGAAATTAACCCTCTTCCAGTTGAACATCTTCACCTTTGATTGTTCCTTGTCCCTTTTCCATATGCACTCTGAATCTAATGATGTTGTGATCACTATTGCCCAGATGCTCTCCCACTGAAACCTGCTCCACTTGCCCTACTTCATTCCCCAGAACTGCTTCCTTCCTCGTTGGGCTGGAAACGTACTGATCAAGAAAGTTGTCATGTATGCATTTTAGGAATCTTTCCCTCTCCTTGCCCTTTGCGCTGTTGTTTTGCCAGTCTATGTTGGGATAATTAAAGTCCCCCATTATCACAACTCTATTGGCCTTGCATCTGTCTGAGATCTGCTTGCAGATCTGCTCATCTATTTCCTTCCCACTATTTGGTGGTCTATAGTATACCCCTACCAGCGTAACAACTCCTTTTTTGTTCCTTAACTTTAACCAGATAGATTCTGTTTTGGGGATCCTCCAGCACCTCGACCCTTTCCATGGCTATAACCGTATCCTTGATTAATATTGCCAAACCCCCTCCTTTTTTTCTAGTTCCTTCCTTACTCTAGTTCCTTCCTTACTGAGAAGATGATATCTTCATCTGCTAGTGCTGCAGTACATTGCTCATTTACATCCTCATTAACAAAAAGATCCATGAACTCTTCGTTTTCCAAAATAAGAGCTTCAGACAGTACTTTTTGGAGAAAATCAGATGTTATCCAGGCTTTGGCTTCATTTTTGCTGGTAGATATTTGATGTTTTTGAAGCATTACAGGGATTTTGATTTTCCTATTATGAGAGGCTGTAGCTTATCTGTTCAGTGTTGGATGTGACCATAATTGAACCACGGTCTTCAGGTTGTTTACATCCAGTACAGGGTTGTCCCTCAATGCAGTAAGATCTATCCGGGTGCCCTTAAACAACAAGGCGGGCTTGTCTGTGTTGTAAATTTTTGACAAATTGTGGTCCCATAGAATTCCCGGGGAAGGGTCTCTTACTCCTCAAAGTGAGACAAGTCAGCAGACTTACCCTCGCTGTAGTGTTTTGTACACAGATAATAATAATCAATGCATTTGTTATAACGCCTTATCACATTTTCAAGAATCTTCTTGGCCAACTCAGATATCAGCTGTGAATCCACGGAAGCCATCATGTGAGTCCCAGAAAAAAACACACACACTAAATAATTGTGAATTCTCTTGTTTTACCAATGTCGTGGCGCTGACACCATCAGCATCCAAGGCTGCACTCTCCACCTCGCAAAGCCAGTCAGGAACCTCGGCGTTTTGTTCGACCCTGAGCTGTCCTTTCTCCCTCACATCCGCACCACAACTGGCACCGCCTTCCATCACCTCCGGAACATCGCCAGACTACGGCACTACCTCACCCCTCACGCCGCTGAAACCCTGGTTCACGCCTTTGTCACCTCAAGGCTGGACTATGGGAACTCTCTCCTCGCCGGCCTTCCCGCCACCTCCCTCCACAAGCTGCAGGTCATTCAGAACTCTGCAGCTCGTGTACTGTCCCGCACCAGGCTTCGCGATCACATCACTCCCACCCTCGCTCGCCTCCACTGGCTCCCCATCCCCAGAGGATTGATTTCAAGATCCTCATCCTCACCTACAAGGCCATTCACGGCCTTGCTCCCTCCTACCTCTCCAACCTACTATCCCCCTACTTACCTGCCCGTACCCTCCGTTCCTCTGGCTCCGGTCTGCTCCACGTCCCCCGCCCAACCGCCCTACCATCGGTGGTCGGGCCTTCAGCTCTCAGCCCCCAGGCTCTGGAACTCCATCCCCAGTGCCTTCGCCGCTTCCTCCCTTTCCTCCTTCAAGGCCGGTCTCAAAACCTTTCTCTTTGACCGTGCCTTCAGCTCCCCTCTCGACTCTCTTCCTCCTCCTCGCTCCCTCCTTCCTCCCCTCACCCTGACCATTTCCCCCTCCTCTCTCCCTCCCTTTCCTCCCCTCACCCTGACCATTTCCCCCCTGCTCGGGTCATGACCCAACTGTGCAGCGCCTTGGGACGTCCTCCTGACGTGAAAGGCGCTCTATAAATGGAATCTTGTTGTTGTTGTTGTTGTTGTTGGTTTAAATTGTGCTTTGTGACAGCTGAGGAGATTTAATCGCGGTGTTGAAAATTATGAGGGGTTTTGATAGAGTAGATGGGGAGAAACTGTTTCCTTTGGTGGATGGATTGTGGAATCTTGTAGCTCAGTGGTTAGAGCACTCGCCTTGCAAGCGAGACACCTGGGTTCAATTCCAGGCAGAACGAAACCTGGGCAAGTTTCCTTACCCCACACGCCTATAATAATCCCTCCAAAACAAAACAATAATAAATTGGTCATTTTCAATCCACGACTGTTTGTGGGACACTGCTGTGCGCAATTGGCTGTCACGTTTCACCCACAAATATACGGTCAAATTCATTTTACAGTATATTCTGTGAAGCGCTTTGAGACGTCGAGAAGACGTGAAAATTGCTCCATCAAATGCAAGGATTATTATTATTGTTATTATTATGGGTCAGTAACCAGGGCACATTGATTTAAGATAATTGACAAAAGAACAAGAGGGGAGATCAGGAGAAATATTTTTATCCGGAGAGTTATTACAGAGAATGCAATGCCTGAAAGGGTGGTGGAAGCAGATTTGATAGAAATTTTCAAAAGGGAATTGAATAGGTACTTAAAAATTTTCAGGGCTTGGGGGGAAGAGTGAGGGAGTAGGACTAGTTGGGAGCTCTTTCAAAGAGCCGGCACAGGCACAATGGGCTGAATGGCCTCCTTAGGGTGCTGTATTCTATGATTCTACGTGGAGTCCTGTAGCTCAATGGTTAGAGCACACACCTTGCAAGCGAGAGACCTAAGTTCAATTCCAGGCAGAGGGCGAAACGTTGGGCAAGTTTCCTTACTCCACACAGAGCCTAATAATAATCCCTCCAAAAACAAAAAATAATAATAAATTGGTCATTTTCAATCTACGACTGTTTGTGGGACACTGCTGTGTGCAATTGGCTGCCGCGTTCGCCCACAAATATACAGTCAATTCACTTTACAGTATATTCTGTGAAGCGCTTTGGGACGTCTAGAAGACGTGAAAAGCGCTATATCAAATGCAAGGATTATTATTATTATAGTAAGTAGGAACCCAGTTGTTAGTCGATTCGTGAATCGTTTTACCGGGGATAATAATCCCTCAAAAAAACAACAATAATAATTTGGTCACTCATTCCATGACTGTTTTCGGGACACTGCTGTGCACAGTTGGCTACTGCATTTCGCCCACAAAAATGGGGAGCACTGTGCCATAAAATATTATGAGAACAGTTCCACTTGCTCTTGTTTTTCGGTGACAAATTTGTATTGCTCAATCTTCACATTGTTTTATGCACAGCACCGCACCACTTAATATTCATCACATCCTGTAATGGCATTTGATACCTCCTTCCAAAGTCTTAAAATATTCTCATTCCTCTTCTGCTACATTCAAAGCTATAGTAATGTGTTGTCTTTGTGGCTGTACTAGTGAAATCCCGCTCAAACCAGTGCTAATTGTGACTCAAGCTTCCCATCGACGTCAATGGTCTCGGTATTTACATACCCCTCGATATTTAATTGACTCCCTCGATGCAGAATTCATTTTGCTTCTTTCACTCTCCATTTCTAATTGCGTACAGTTTTTTCTAATTTCCTGTCCAATTCAGTTTTGTTCTGACACAGAACACAGCTGTTATTCATTTTATTAGGGTTCAATCCAAGCCATAACCATACCAGTTTGCTCTTTTCCCAGTATCCTTTTAATATTTTGTGGGGAAGAGGGAGGAGACGATGGGGAAAAGGCAGGTTCCTTGGGCCTTCCTCTGAGCTGGGCTTCTAATTGAGTTTCTAATATTAACAGGAAATCTTACAAAGCTGAGGTTGAACAGAGGAAGGAGGATGTGAAAGATTTTGTCACCTTGTTCCCTGTGTGGAGAGTGTGGATGATCAGCTACATCAGAGACCTACGAGAGATCGCAGACAGCATTTACTCGATTCACAACCCTGGCATGAAAGTGGGAGTCGGCCAGAGTGTGGCTGGTGGGGCTGACAACACCGCAGCTTTTGACACGGATACTGTAATCCAAACACAGAGACAGAAAAGGGTTAATGATATCAGGGAACAATATACAAAGGACAGCAGAGAAATGGCAGAGTGTTACACAAAACTCTCACGAGCAGTTCGGAGCTTGAAATGTTATGGTGAGAAATCAGAAACCACATTTCCTGGTGGAGCTGAGAGTCTCACTGAACACTTGGCTGGATTTGCTGCTGTGGCTGAAACAATAAGCAAACAGGAGACAGTGACATCCAGGGCCGGGTCAGCAGCTCAGACAGGATTATTTATTGCATCGGATCTGATCTCCAGAGTAAACGATGTTCATAATCTCAATCGTGGAACCAGGGCAGATGTTGCTAAACATATTCACGGTGTGGCTGAAGTGATGGAGAATGAAGTGATGGCGTATGAAGAGGTTTATAAACATCTGGAAGGTACAGTCATAGTCATAGTCGCTTCCCTTTCTCAGTCACCCACGGTGTTCCTCAGGGATTTATCCTGAAATCCTATTTGGAGTACTGTAGTGTATTGGATAGAGCTCTCGCCTCACAAACAAGAGGACCCACGTTCAATTCCTGGGCGGGGAGAAACCTTACGCACGTTTTCGTACTCCCTCTGCTTATCTAGTAGTAAGTAGCAACCCGGTTGTTAGTCAATTGGCAGATCGCTTTCCATGGGTAATAATCCCTCAAAAAATAAAAATAATTCAGGTAGGACCATCCTACCCAATAGGGCTTTGCAGGGTGAACAGGATCTGAGTGTGAAGAGTCCCTGCCCCCAGTGAATGGTCTGCCCTTCCAGATCCTGCCAGTCAGCCAGGCTGTGCTGTGCTGTCATCAACAGTGCCCTTGAATACTGTGGACCTGCCAGGCTCAGGAACCGGACAAGAGATCATCACAGTGTGGGCATTTCACCCAAAAAATATACTGTCAATTCCCTTTATAGTATATTCTGTGAAGCGCTTTGGGACGTCTCGAAGACATGATAAGGCTCTGTATCAATTGCAAGAATTATTATTATAGGATGGACTAAATTCTGACATTCCGTTCCCAAACATGTCACCTTGGAGCCTGTTCAGCCCCGAGACCCTGCTTCCCCCATCCCAGACACATACACCCTACCCCCAAGATGCATTGTCACCAGTTGGTCATTTAGCATCTGATAATAACCAGTAATAATGGCTCTTGTTTCTCCCTTATTTAACAGACACAGTCAGCGCCACTAAGGACAGGTATGTACAGATGTGAATGAATTACTTGTTCTCGTCCGACTCTGTCTGATTGGCTCTTTATCTGATTACAGGAGTCCTGTAGCTCAGTGGTTAGACACTCGCCTCTCAAGCGAGAGACCTGGGTTTGATTCCCGGCAGGTCAGGGCGAAACCTTGGGCAAGTCTCCTTACTCCACACGCCTGATAATAATCCCTTCAGAAAAAAAAACAATAATAAATTGGTCACTACAATCCACGCCTGTTTGTGAGCACTGCTGTGCGCAATTTGTTGCTGAGTTTAGCCCACAAATATACAGTCAATACACCTTACAGTATATTCTTTGAAGCGCTTTATCAAATGCAAGTATTATTATAGTATTATTTTTCTCTATTCCCCCCACCCCCCCATTCAGGTTCAGAGATGGCGGGGTGGGTGGGGGTGGGGGGGGGAATAGTCTGTTTCTGGCTCCACACACCTGTCAGTGCTGCAGGATAGAGGGACGTGTAAAGTGGATGAGAAGTTGCCTGAATCAGAGGAAGTAAAGGGCAGTGGTTCCCGAAGTAGAATGAGATGTCGCCAGTGACTGGCAGGTGCCCAGGGCTCAGTGTTGGAGTCCCTGGTGGTTACTGCACGATAATGACCTGCAATTGGGGCTTAAACGTGGATTAAGTTACTGATAACAGGACACGTGGACAGAAGAGGGAGATGGTTAGATTGGGGAACTGGGCTGAGAGGTGACAGATGTTTAATGACAGATAGTTATATTGTAATCTATACTAATTAAACGGCAATGTCTGTCTGCGCTTCAAGAAGTATATCAATAACCAATTGATGTCGAGACATGATTTATACCTCATAGGAAAGGCTTTGTATCTTGGAGCTAAGTGGCAGCAACAACAAAATTGCATCTTTAAAGCACCTTTCACGTCGGGAGGATATCCTAGTGGTTATAAATTATACATCTCTATTGATCATCATAAAGATGCCTAAGTGAAAATCAAACTTTTCAAGAATAAGCAAAAATGCTAGACAAAAGAGAGAAGGCACATTAAATGAAACTGTAGAACAAAGTCTTCCCACAGGAGACCTTCCAGATGAGTATAGATAAAGATGAAATGTCTGTCTGTGTGTCTGTCTGTGTATCAATCTACATTCTGTAATTGGATCCTTTGATTGCAAGCGTAGCTGCAACGGGTACAACTAGTTACATATAAATTAATAGAATAATTTAGAATATTAACAACAGCAACAACAACTTGGATTTATATAGTGCCCTCCACTCCGGACAGCATCTATATTAATAGTGGAGCTTACTGATTAGAGCACTTGCCTTGCAAACGAGAGGACCTGGATTCAATTCCCAAGCAGTGCGAAACTTTGAGTAAGTTTCCTTACTCCACACACCTCTGTTTACCTATCAGTAGGTAGAAACACGGTTGTCAGTTGATTGGCGGATTGCTTTTCCGGAGGTAATAATCCTTTCAAAAATAAATAAATAATAGTAATAATTGGTCACACAATCCACGACTGTTTGTAGGACACTGCTGTACGCAATTGTCCCCCTTTTTCAGCCCATAAAATATACAGTCGATTCACTTTTCAGTATATTCTGTGGAGTGCTTTGCAAGTCTCTAACACGTGAAAAGGCTGTATATCAAATGGAAGGATTATTATTATATGTTTACAGAGTATTTATTTTCATAGAATCATAAAAATATACAGCAGAGAAGAGGCCATTCGGCCCATTGTGTCTGTGCCGCCTCTTTGAAAAGAGCTACCAAATCAATTCCAATCCCCATAGCCCTACACACTTGTTCTCCCCAAATAATTATCCACTTCTCTCTTAAAAGTTGTTATCGAATTAGCTTCCACTGCCCTTATAGGCAATGCATTCCAGATCTGAACAATTTGCTGTGTGAAAAAGGATCTCCTCACCTCCCCTCTGTTTCTTTTAACAACTATTTTAAATTGGTGTCATCAGGTTACTGACCCACCCACCAGTGGAAATACAATTGACGCTCAGTTCCCTCCTCACGCTGCTGGGCTCTCTGCTCAAGAACACTTTGCTCCCTGGGCAAAGAAAAAGAGGATAAGTAACCTAACTGCAGGGCAGGGGATGTCAGGAGTGAGACCAATGCTACCTGTCAGTGATGCCCACACTCCCACACACGAGATTTGACACTCAGGTTACAGAGAGCAGTGGGAGGCTGTGTGGGGTTGGGGACGAGGTAATCTCTGAGGCCCAGTTTGAAGCTGGTGTAAAATGTAAAATCTATTCTCTTAAAAGTTGTTATCAAATTGGCTTCCACCTCCCTTTCAGGAACGCATTCCAGATCCGAACAACTCGCTGTGTGAAACAATTTCCCCTTGTTTCCCCTCCCGTTTCTTTTAACAACTATTTTAAATCAATGTCCTCGAGTTACCGAGCCACACGCCAGTGGAAATAGTTTCTCCTTGTTCACACTATCGAATCCCCTCATCATTTTAAAAACTTCTATTAAATCCCCTCTTAACTTTGTATGCTCCAAGGAGAATAATCCTGGCTTCTCTAGTCTCTCCTCATAACTGACGTCCTGTCAGTCCTGTAGCTCAGTGGTTAGAGCACTCGCTTTGCAAGCGAGAGAGCTGAGTACAATTCCAGGCGAAACCTTGGGCAAGTTTTCTTACTCCACACAGAGCCTAATAATAATCCCTCCAAAAACCCCAAACAATAATAAATTGGTCATTTTCAATCTACGACTGTTTGTGGGACATTGCAGTGCGCAATTGGCTGCCGCGTTCGCCCACAAATATACAGTCAATTCACTTTACATTGTGTTCTGTGAAGCGCTTTAGGACGTCCTCCCGACGTGAAAAGCGCTATATCAAATGCAAGGGTTATTAGTATTATTACCATCCTGGTAAATCTCCTTTGCACCCTCTCCAATGCCTTGACATCCTTCCTCAAGTGTGGTGCCCAGAACTGAACACAGTCTTTAGCTGAGGCACAACCAGTGTTTTATAAATATTAATCATAACTTTCTGACTTTTGTATTTTATGCCTCTATTTATAAAGCCTAGTATCCCGTATGCTTTTTTTTAACAGCTTTATCTACTTGTCCTGCCACCTTCAAATATTTATTTATATGAAGCCCAGTCTCTCTGTTCTTATTTATTATTGATAAATATTATTACTAATTTACTAATTATATTATAGCATATTAATAAAGTACAGAGACTGACATGGAAATAAAATGATCATGTGACCAGCTCTTTATAACTTCTCTGAATCCCCTGCTTTCTGGAAATCACCGAATACGATTATAGAGGGCAGAGTCAACGATTAATCATCCCTCCAGAAAACACATGATCTTTCTCTTCAGAAATCTGTAACTACTTTCCTCTGTGGGAAAGGCTGCCCTGACCCCACTGGGCTCCCTGTGTCTGGTGCTGTGTGTGATGTGGGCAGTAGCTGAGAGTTGGCTGTGTTTGTGTTCACAGGAAAGCCTTCCTCACTGAGCTGGCAAAGAGGACTGATGATGTGCAGAGCTTTAAATCACAGCTCTCTGTGTGGAGACAACAGGTGAGAGGACACCTGAGAGCCCTGCGAGAGGCTGCGGACCACATCGACAACCTTCACAGATCAGTTACAGCTCTGACCATTATGGGCGTCATACTGCGTATTGCCGGAGTGATACTGATTATTGCGGCAATAATCATTGGCACAACATTTGAGAAGATATTGATGAAGAGGTTGGTGTTCACACTCATCCTCACCATTGTGGGAGTTGTAATAGCTGCAATCGGGACTGTTATCACCTTTGTATCTCGTGGCAATATCACTGCTTCGCAAACAGAGAAAGTGATAAGAGTGAATGAAACAATAGAAGAATATAAAACAGACAGCAGAGCCATGGCTGATTGCTACAATAAACTAAACACTAGAATCCAATTGTTCATGAAATCAGGAAGAGACACATCTACTGGTAAAGCTGAGATGTTCTGCAGTGGCTCATGTGCTTTTCCACTCATTGTTGACAT